TTTCTATATTTGAATTTGATTTGAGTTCAAATATTTGATCAAATCAAATCAAATCAAATCAAATTGCGGAACCCTAAGTAGTAATAATAATGATAATAATAATAATAATAATAGTAATAATAATAACGAGGTTGTTATTATTTCTGACGATGAACTGGTTTGGGAAGAACCAGTTCAAGAAAATGTGGTTTCTGAGGAGTGGTTTCAGAAGAAGTGACTCCAGAAGTCACAGAAGAAGTAATAACCTATCCTTACGTTCTTGAAGATTTAGGTTTTGATGAAGAGCAATGATAGGTATAAAATAGTTAAAAGTAAAAATAATAGTAATAATAACGAGAATAAAAAATTTTTTTTTTTTTTTTATATAAGTTTCTGGCAAGAGTATCGAATATTTTCTCATTAACTAGCATCTGTTCAAGAGCAACTTCAGTTGGCAGGAGTATTAAGTCAAGATGCTTTGTCATCTTGGTTGGTAAGAAAGAAGAGAGAAATTATGGATAGGATTGAGGCAATGAAGAAGTATTGTTTTAGTAAGGGATATCAAGTTTTTAGGCATGGGGAATTGTAATTTGTATTTTTCTTTTTAAAAGAAATAAAGATTTTAATTTTTCAATTTTTCAAATTGTTTAGTGGTTATTTTCTCAAAATCTGCCGTATATATTTCTAATGAATTATACAGTTTATTAAGCCTATATTTTTGAAACAAAGTGTAAACTCTTGTTGCTTGAATAAGTAGTATACACCACTTGTGGATTATATATATGGATCATTTCAAAAAGCTTTTTGTTATGTTTTATATATACTGGAAGAACATCAGTAGTACTCTTTTTAAAAGCTTCTAAAAATTCTGAACTAGTAACACCAGTACGTATTATATTCACATTGGCTTTAATTTTAAGATCATCATGTATTACAATTGAAAATTGCTCTTTTTCATCTTCTAACTGTTCTATAAAAGGTTCTACTGGCCCTACATCTCCTTGAGTTCCAGTTATAAAAAACAAAGAATATGCCATTAAAGAATCTTTAGTAACACCTTTTGGAACTATGTTACATGCTATCTTATACGGATTCTTTTCAATATGCCAAAGAACCAAATTGTCAGAACAATATACTTTCTTCGTAATTTTATAATAGTTAAAACTTTGTTTTTTTTTTGAGTATGCTTCTTGATTATAATTCAATGATTTTAACAACTCTTGATTATCACGTACTATTTTGGCAGTCTGTTCTAACCACAATAACTCAAATTTAGCATAATGCATCCATAGAGTTGAACCACAAATCTCATCTGATGATATTCCTAAAAATTTACTTGCACAACAATTAGAAACGAGACCTAAAAGTTCATCTGGACAATACATAAATCCATTCTGTTTAGCATACTCAGGCCAAACCCTAGAAGAAAAAAGACTTAAATATTTAAAATGATTTGTGTAGGGTATTTTAGCTATTGATTGATACAATTTTTTATTATTATATTTTTCATCATCCCAATAATGACATTGTGAATATAGGTCTACGGGTACACAAATATCATTCTTGTCACATAACCATTCAATATAATCAACATATTGAGGATACCTAAATAACTCATAATGAACTGTTTTTTTTTTTTTAAATTCACCAAATTTAAATTCATCTAACAGTTGTAAAAACTCTTTTGGCATTGAGTTAAATATTTTAATGTTCCACCTAGCTGTTCTAGTATAGAACATATAACAATCTATGCAAAATAAATCCTCTAATTTATCTGAAATTTCCTTTGCTCTATGAGGCTCAAGTATTTTAATTTTATAAATACTATAAAATGAGTTGTAGGACAATTTACAAGATACAATTGAACCAGGCATTAGAGGGAAAAAACTTGAAATTATTCCAATAATTAATATAACAGTCTTAATAATAAATAATCCTATATTTTTTTGATTTTCTTTATTATAAAATTTTTTTTTAAATATATTTTTATAAATGTAAAACTTAGCATCATACACTAAGCTTTTATAATAATTTAAATAAGATTCATCAGAATAAAAAAAAAAATATTGATAAAATTTCTTCCCTATCAACCTATCATCATAATCAAATATGTAATTTTTATCTTCTAACTTCACATTCTCTTTTCCAATGATATTAATATAGCAATAACCCCACTTTAAGTTACGATCTAAATAATTACGGTAAATTTTTTGATTTAAATAAGATAAACAATACGAAACTGTCACTCGTAGTAACAAAAAATTAATAATGAAAGTGTAATATTTATCTAGGAGTGCGTTGGAATAAAGGGAGTAACTTAGGGAGGTTGCTAGCAAAAATGGTTCAGCAACCCAATTTTATTGAGTTGAGAACTTCAAAATGTGATATCTTTATAAAGGACTAAGATCATTATGAATTCTGTACATATTACATTTGGTCCTTCAATTGGCATTACGGACACATGGTAATGAGATCTTTCTCAGTCTATCTTAAAATACACTTTTGTTGTTGGTAAAATACAATTTTGCTTTAAAATTTCCCAAACACAATATCCTTGTTTCTTTTTCTAATCACGATACATTACAAAAGCATCATGTAATGTTTTAACACTATGATGGTTTAATAAATTGTTAACCATAGAGTAATCTAACTCCATAAAAACATTAACAATTTGTTCATCTGTCCAACTATCTCTCATTCTTTGAAATTCTAATTTATTTACAATCACTTGTCTTTTTAAATTAAGATCATCTCCATCATAATGATATCCTGGATATTTTGGAAGGGCACCAAATATCAAATCCCCAAAATTTACCATAAAATGATCAAACGAATAACATTTAATAAAATGTGGTTGAAAATCAAAATCATGGTAAGCATCCATGCCTACAAATAAAATATGAGAAATTTCTACCCCATCCACTACTATCTGTGGGGCATTTTCATCAAAATGAATTGATATACAAGCTGTCAATTTATTGTAAGCCTCTATAATATTACTAAAATTACAACTAGTCAATTCAGTAATTTTATCTTTTCCCAAAATTTGGAGATAATGATAACACATATCCATTATCTCTTCGGTGTTTTTATACTCATGCTTTGGTAATCTAACATAATAGCCAACTTTATACATTAGGGCATGTAAAATATTGCTCCAACAATAACCTGGGAACAAAGATGTAAAATAACTCCTATAATTCTTATATTTGTTAGTTGAATTAACATAATCTAACAAATCCACATCATCTTCTGTGTATAAAAAAGGCTGGAATGGGTTTCTAATAAACTTTGCATCTAATGTCAAGAAAAATAATTCATATATAGTGATTATTAATATAAAATCACCCATATGTAATGAACCATCATCACTATAAATAAAATAGTCACTATTAGGGGCCTGACTAATTAAAAACAAAGACTTTTCTTTATTAGAAGCTATTTTCAAAAAATTAAACTGGAGGTCTTGCTCTTTGCATTCTTCTAAATATTTATCCCAAAGCGACTGGTCAACATACACTTTTGCATTTCCACCTATAATTACATTATCCTCAAACTTACCCCTCGGTAAGAGTTTATAAACACTTTCATATGAATCATTTTTAATTCCTAGAAATTTATCAAGCTTACAAGAATATAAGCCATTATTTTTTCGCGGTTCCTTACCAATGACGTATATGTGTATCTTATTATTCTCTACATTGTACACAACTGTTATCTCAGATAACTTTTTGATCCCATTTATTGTCCAATACTGAAATTGACTTCGAAGGTCCCGATAGGTTATAAAATTATTATGTTCAGCAGTCCAATTTTCGTTTAGTACTTCTGTAAAGTATCTATATAAAACAACCTAACAAAAAGAGCCTTTGTAATTTGAATAATAATTACCATTTATTATACTAGTTATAGAGGCATATCTAGCTTGGTAATCTCCACTACAAAACTAACAGTTTCATCAAACTGTACAGCCTGTGCGAACTTAGACCAGTTATCATTAGAATTAAACTGTGTTGCACACATTGTTATATGTAATACGTCAAGAACTTGCGTATACATAACCATCATTTTATAAAAATTTGGGATTCTATTTTCACACCACGTTGCCTTTGAAATAAATTATTTAGATGATCTATAACATTATTGCGATTATCTAATTTCAACCTCATCTCTGATATAATTCGCTCTCTATCTTCTATTTGCTATTGCAAATTTGATACCACTATATATTCGTTGCTTCTTTGTTCTTCTAGTTTTTTCTGCAATTCAGCAATTGCTTGTTTATACTCTTCTTCGCAGATATTAGAATCGTTAATAGAAATAGGATTACTGGAATTTGGGTTATCTAAAAGATGCCGATAAAAATGATTAGTAGATATAACTTAATTATAGTGTTTTTCACAAATTGTATGAGGATTCAAGTAAAGTTTTAATTCAGGCATAAAATCTTCATATAATCTAAGCCGTTTAGTTACTTCTGAAGTATCAGCATGCCTCCAAGTCTGTGATTCCTTCATTTCACAAGATCTTAAGCCGAGTTCATTATATTTGCTAACTATGTAACTGAATAGGCAGGGAAGTTCTCTGGTTTTTGGCTTCTCTTTAGTAGTCGAAGATTGTAACATCTTTACTCTTGAGTTTTGTATGCACGCAAATAAAAAGAAAAAGTTTTAGTCGCAAATTTTAAAAAATTTAGATATATATTTTTGTATTTCTTCGAACATCACCTACCTTTTTAGAAAATGCTAATTATTAAAATGTCTCAACTGATTATGCGACTAGAAGTTTTCAACTTTCTTCTTATATATCGATTGGATATTATTAGTTAATTACGAAAGCCCCAAATAGTGCTCCGAAAGAGGTCAAAAAACCCGGGTACTCGACTCCAGAGCATAAAACCTAAAAATTCATCACACGACCCGATCACCGGTAATCAATAGTAAAAGTATAATATGCATGAAAAGTATGTCAGAATCAGCGATAGTTAAATATCGTATGATTAGTT